GTGGGAGGAGGCCGGGGACTCGCTGCTGTGCTACGTGTTGGGTCTCGAGGGAGTTGGTACCTGACTTCTTGGGCTGACCGTGGTGGGTGTCCATCCCCCAGGCTAGCGTGCTCGTGTGGATGCAGAGGACCCTGGAGGTGGAGTTCAAGGAATGGTTCAGGGAAGAGGAACCTGAGATGGACCATCAGGGCTTCTTCCAGTCAGCCCTGCCCGTCATTGTCATGCAGGTGGGTCTCCAGCACCATGGGGCGTGGCCAGGCTGAGAGCCCCCAAAAAGGGGGCCATGGCCTGCAGCCTCCCGCTGACTCACCTCTGCTCTTCTTTCCCTGTGCAGATGCTGAATGAGAATATCCAGGTAGCCTCCTTGATCACGGACTCTCTGCAGCAGAAGGTCTACAACATGGCCTTGGAGGAGCTCGAGGCGTTTCTAGGCCGGTCAGTGGAGCCCCTTGCACCCCTGCCCATCCTCAAAGACCACGGGTCCCATGGCCAAGCACCATAGGCTGGTGGTGGAGATCTCTGCCGTGGGGCACACAGCACTCATCCAGGTCCCAGAAGGCTGTCTACCCATGGGGCTACTGTCTCAGCCTGTGGGGCCATCAGCTTCCAGGGCTTGCTGCCCCAAGCACCTCTCCAGCAGCGCCAAGCCCTGCTCTCCCGAGGGGTCCAGAATGGGTCCCACTGTCCCACCCTACCCAACAACCTGTCACTCTCCAACCTGGTGGCAGGAGCTGGAAAGAGCCAAGTGAGCTGGGAGTGTTGTGGGAGGTCCACGTGCCCCCAAGAGCATCCCAGCTCCGGGTCCTCGTGGCGAGACGTCCAGGGCTCTGCCCACCCACCATGGTTGACTCACTGTGTTGCAGTCTGCGGGAAGCCCTAGTGCAATGTGGGAAGGAGCACCAGAAGGACCGTACCGTACCCAAGTACTATGTCTCCTACCTGCTGGCCATGCTCAACAACAACCTGGCTCTCAGGTAACGTGCACCAGCACCTTGTAGGTCTTGTAGCAACCCCACTACCCACTCCCCATCCGCACGTGGGACCCGTGTCCCCACCATGCTTCCCAGGCTACCTGTCCCCTCCCTTCTTCTCTCTCTCCTAGCTCCTCTGTCTCCTCCCTGCACCCCGACACTGCCCACAGAGAAGTCCCCACATCCCTCCGGGCTGCTCTAGACAGGACACAGAAGAAAGCCTGCCAACTGCTGCTGGAGGAGCTGCTCCTGGACCTGCAGGTACGTTTGTCCACAGCCCCCGAGGCTGGCAGGGCTGCAACAAACCCGGCGCCAGCAAGAACTGCCCTGCTGCTACACCCCCAGGCACGGGTTTATTCCTGCCCGGGATCCCCGCCACGTACCCCGTGGCCTGCTATCATCCTGCAGACATCTCTGCCAGCCCGGTGCCCAGACCTTGATAAACCGCCCGACGTCTGTCGCCAGCCAGCACCGCCCTGTATCGCTGGGGCAGATGGCTTGTGGCCCCCAAACCACTAACGGACAGAGACCGGGGGCCACAGCCCTCCCGGGCTGCCTCGCGCTCCTTTTTGTGGCTGTTTCATGGCAGAAAACCAACAGGAGAGAGGCAATGTCCGTGCAGAGGATACAAGCCCATGTGCGACAGCCCGAGTCATTTCCTGCCAGCGTAGTCAAATTTAGCTTTCCTGGAGCCTGGACCAAAAATCTGGAATAATTAACGGCATTGCTATTTAGGGCTTGAATGCCATGAAAACAAAGGAGCAGCTAAAGGGCGAAACGCTTGCAGGCAGCGCGGGGACTGCCATGGCCCCAGCAGAGACGTAGAGGGAATGTCTGCCTGCAGGCAGGAAGACGGGCAAGGACAGCAGGGGAGGAGCAGGGGGTCACAGCCCTCGGCCAGAAACACGTTAATGTCCACACAGGGGAAGTGGAGAGGAGTGGAAATTAAAAATAAAATCACAGCAGGACGGGCCAAAAGCGGGTGTGTGAGGAGCAGCTTGGTGCCCAGGTGCTGCCCGCAGCGGGGCATCGTGACCCAGATAAAGCCTCAAAATGTGGATCTCTGCGTGTCAGGGAGGGGCAGCCCCCAGTGTATTTCCAGAATTTCCTAATCTGGACCACTCTCGCATTTTCATGTTGACTTTTGGCTGGCAGCGGGGCCTTGGGGGTTTTGCAAGGCAGAGCGGCCGTGCTGCCGGGCAGCAGGCGGGCGGCGGCTGTGGGATGTCATGCTGCCCCGCGGCCGGCAGCTGCTGCGAGAGCGATGCGATGCAGGGCGCCGTACGCTGCTCCTCTGCTTCTTTCAGCCCCTCTGCCTGCAGCTGCCTTCCCGCAAGTGGCTCTCCGGGTCCCAGCTCGTCAGCAGCATGTGCGAAGTGATTGACAAGTATGCGAAGGACTTCTCCCGTGTCAAGAAACCCGTCTTCACGGTACGCGTTGCTGCGGGGCGTCCTTCGAATGGCTGCTTGTCCGTAGGGCAAGGAGGTTGGGCAGCTGGGTACCACGGTGGGGTGCAAGATGCAGCCCAGAGGCAGCCGGGAGCTGGGAGGGGAGCGGGGACGCAGTCGCTGCTGGGTTTGCCGCAGAGCAAACCAGCCCAGAGGGCACCATCACGCAGAGATGTTCAGGGTTTCCCCCAAATTCAGCTACCTTCTCTGTCCCTCCGGCCAGGGGGCTTCCCAGCAGGTTGTCCCCACGGCTTGGTGTTGCATCCAGCCCCTTTCCCCTCTGCCTTTCCCTGGGCAATTGGGGTCTGACACCCAGGTGATGCCCAGCGCTAACAGCTCTCCCCTGCCCAGCTCCTGCTGACGGAGAGCGAGCTCCTGGTGGCGAGCCAGTACCTGCGGGCACTCATGCAGAAGAAGATGGTGTGCAAAAGCGAGGAGGAGCGGGGCCAGCTCTGTGACCGCCTGCTGCAGGACGCCACGCAGCTCCGGGAGCTCTTCTGTGGCTTGGTGAGAGGCGCCCGAGTGCGGCGGGGAGCCGGGGCTGGGCCGTGGGAGGGGAGCACCGCACGACGAGGTCGGTGCAAGGAGCTCATAGCTCACCTCCGTCACCCTCCTGTTCCCCTCCAGCCCACAGCAGATGGGGTGGGTACATCAGCCCACGATCAAGACGTGGCTGTTACGCTTGGGCAGTTGTGAGGCCAAGATGGGAGGAACTGGCTGGATTAGGGACTCGGGGACCATCCACCCTGCCGAGCGCAGGTTGGTGAGGCTGCACAGCCTCGTCTCGCCTTGGGGCAAGCCAGCACCGATCAGTGGGACACGCTGAGTGGGGAGACACCAGCCGCAAGGGGCCAGGTCTCCACATGGGCACTGGGCTACGTCTCACCAGCCACCGCGGTGGCCTCCTCCGTCCCGGTCTCGCACGTGGCCGCTCTCCCTCCCAGGGTCTGGACCGGAGCCAGCAGAGCCTGGAGGCCGTCTTTGCCCTGCGGGAGCTGATCTGCCTCAAAGACCCAGCACTACTCAGCCTGGAGGTGCTGGGTTTCATCACCAAGTACCCCGACGTCAGGTGAGAAGCCCAGCTCTGCTCTCCCGCGAGACGGGGTAGGCGTGAGTCTGCCCAGGGGAGCCAGGCTTGGGCTGGACCCCGTGAGGTTACGCTGCAGAGCAGGCAGAAACCTGGGCTTCCCCCCCCCGCCTCCTCCCTGAGGTTTCATTTCCTCTTCCCATGCTCCAGATTTGAGGGGTTCTTGCAAAGTCCCAAGGGCAAAGATGCAAAGAAAAAAGCAGTTCTGCTGTGGCATTCACCCGTCTGTATTTGGTGGCCAAAAAAAAGTGAGAAATCACAAAACACCAAATTGGAAATGTCAGAATCAGCCAAAACCCATGAAATGTCAAAACCGAATTCATAAGGTTTGTGGGGTTATTTTTCAAGCAAATTTTAAAAGTTTGGCTGGTGCGAAGTACCAGCTCTCCCCTGGCCTCAGCTCAGCTTCTCCAGATCATGGGAGGTTTGCGGGACGTGAGCAGTGCGAGGGCCCTGCGGACGGTGCCGTGGGCCAGCTGCGCCCTTGCGGGACGTGAGCAGTGCGAGGGCCCTGTGGACGGTGCCGTGGGGGACTGGACTCACCTCTTGCTCTCTGCCCAGCGATGAGCACATCTCCACCTTGCTGGATCTGCGGGGTGACGTCTCCAAGGAGGTGCGGCACATGGTGCTGGAAATGATGGCGCAGCACCCCCAGGTCCTGCCCGAGAGCTACCGGCCCATCTTCAGCACCATCCTGGTCCCCGCGCCGGAGCTGCCCTTCTGCCTTCGCAAGGGCAAGTGTGCCTGACACGGCGCCCTGCAGCCCGCTCCCCGCTGCCCCCACAGATGGGACCACGCAGGGCATCTCTGAGGCTGCGTGTGGGGAGAAAGGAGATGCCGCGCGGCATCCCCTACGCGCAGCACCTTGCCCTCTGTTGGGGACAGTCTGCACACATGCTGTCCTCCTCTGATCCCGCCGAGCCGACTGTCCCCCGCAAGCACCAGCCCCAGGAGACCTGGGTCAGGAGAAAAATCAACGCATAGCTATTTTGCTGGCCTGCAGAGGCAGTAACTGAGGGCTGCTCAGGTCTGGCCCGTTGCCTGCAGGAGAAAGAGGAACCGCAGAGCAAAGGGCGGGAGTCCGCAGCTGGGGTGAGTCTACGTCTCCGTGGGGCTGCAGAGATATTTGGGTTTCCCCGAGTCTCCAGCCAGCCCTCTGAGCCAGCGTGTCCTGGCCGTGGAATCTGTTACCACCCCAGCTCCAAGGCAGACTGGAGCCTTGCTAGACCCAGACTTGCCAGGAGGGTTTTAGCCATAGGAGGTCTTCCTCTGTTTTGGCTCAGCCCAGAGGTCTGGTGTTGCTGCTCCACTGGCCTGGGCCCTGCATGGACGGTGGAGAGCAGCTCAGCCAGCTCGTCGTGGCTGACGGCCACGGAGGAGTAGGGCACAAGGGGGTCTCACCACCCTGGGTAGCGCCACCAACCCTATTCCTGCCGGCGTGAAGGGACAGCTCTGAGATCCCGCTGACCTGCCCAACTCCTGGCCCCGGCTCTCTTGCCAGCATCCAAGACAGGACTGGAGTCCAAGACTCTCCGGCCTTTTGGAGAGCGTGAACTGAGTTGCGTCTGGTGTGTCAAGCATCCTCCTGGCCCAGCTTCCTCCCTGATGGGCAGCACCGCCCTGGGCGCTGGCTCTCCCTCCATCCTCTCCTGCTGTCCGGCCCTTGGTCATCTCCTCCCCAGGTGCCATGCGAAGATCAGGAGCAAAGCCTGTCTCTGTGCCTGCGCCCTTGTGCCCAGCCCCTGCAGCACCCTGGGGGACCTCCATGCTCTGCCACGCTTCCCGCCTTGTGGCGGGCCTGATCCTGCTGCCCTCGCGTGGCACCACTGCCAGAAATAAAGGCCTGAGCTCTGCAATCACTCGCCAGCGTCCAGGCTCTGCTCCCCAGTGGGTCAGGGCGGGGATGAGGGCATGTAGGTGGCACAGTGTGTGTGGGGGATACATCCCCGTGCTCAGCATCACCCCAGGGATGGCTCCCTGCACCCGGTGCCACCCCAGGAGCATCACCCAAGGACACGGGGGATGATGGAGATGCTACGTTCCCCCCCCTCTGCGCATCCAGGATGGTGACGGGGGGATTTGGGAGGGTCTACGCTATTCCCCAGCGTGCAGCCCTGGGGTGAGGGGTCAGGCGGCTGCAGTGGTGGGGGGGGATGCTCAGGTGGAGGGGTCAGGGAGCCTCGGCTCGGGGAGGTGGCCACTGTCCTCCCTGGGGCTCATGGTGTGCTCGCCCAGCTCTCCGCACTGGCCACGGCTCCCGCCTGCCTGGGAAGGCGTCTGCCCTCCCCACCTGCCCCAGCTGGCTCTGGGACACCCTCACTCGCACCACG